TTTATCCATGTGCTCCGATTAATACTACAGAAGAAAAGCAAAACTAGTCCATTCCTTAGTATGTGCCTGGACATAAGGAAATCTGTAAAATTCTGCTTTAAAGTAGAGAAGTTGTGATTCTGATTTCTAAATATTTGGAAAGTTTTATTTCCTTAATCTGTACATAACCCAGGGACTATCCTCTACTTAAAATATCAAATGTTATGCACACTGAAACAGTTTTTGAACAGACTTCATGTCTGGGTAACAGTTCGGGTCAAATGACTGAAACGTGGACTCAGCTGGGTGTTCAAAATTTCCAATGATCAAAAGCCCACGTCAAAATTTGCTTTATGAAAGGCTTACATTAAACTGTCTGAACAGTTTCCCAAAAAGCCCTAACTTCAAACATTTTGAAAATGCGTAGACTAAGCTTGGAAACTGGGTTTGTGCCAGGAAACCGACTAACTTAAGAGAACTTCCAGTTCTGCCAGAAATACCAGTTAAAGATTTTTACAGAATTATGCCAACGGCAAGTCTGTAATAACTTATCAATGAGTAAATCAAAAAAAAGATCAAAACCAAGTGTGCAGAAAGTAGATTTTACTTATTAGCTGACAGTTTTACTTAAGAAAGCTTTGATTAAGATGAATTTCCCTCATATCCCGTTGTATTAGCCATTAGTGGGAATCTTTAGTAATCCAGGTGCCAGGCAGGTGTTTTATCTTTATTTACCTTACTAAAAAGTTAAACATTTAGGTGATAATAACCCCCAAATGTGTCCTAAATATGTCCGTTTATGGACCACCACAACCTGTTCTCTATATGAGTGAAGGACATTGCTGGCAAGGAAAAATTTAATTATATGTGAATGTGGTAAAAAGTGCTGGAGGTTACTGCTGGACTATGCAGTAACCACCTAAAGTTCTGACAGACTTTCTATTTGTAATGTTAATGCTGAGCACTGCAGGACGGCTTGTTTCAGAAATGACCGCATCTAATTAACCAGGATGAGTGGGAGTCCAAATCTCTCAGCTAAAATGATATAAAGCTGCATTCCACTACTGCAGACTTTCCCAGCATGCTTTGTCCCGTTTCTGAAATGCCTATAAATTGCTGTATTTTTGCTCAAGAGAAAGTCTCTAATCTGCATGCTGTGTTCAATTTTCTGAGACGTATTCTTTAAAAGGTTAATATGTCTAATACAAGTACTCAGAACTGCTTATATGTTCAAAGCAATGCAGAATGCATTGAAAAATTAAGTAGTCGTATGTTTCAATATGCATTTAAAGTGGAACCCCCCCGCCACACACACACACATTTTTCAATAATCTCTTATATTATGCATGCTATCTCATTAACCACTACTTCTTAAAAGTACGAAGGAGACATTGTGGGTCTTCATCTCTTCATATTTTGTTTCCAAGGAGTTGAAGCTGCTTGAACTACTAAACAATGCTACAGATCTTCTGAAGGTCTCACAGATTTTTGTTTTTTTTTCCAACAATTTCTTTGAGAAAAATCTGCCTCCTGTGAAGCAGCACACTGAGAAATGAAAGCTTGCTCATGATTCTTGCACAGGTCTGCACTGCTGCAGCCAAGGTCTTTCAGAAATGTCATTCAAATGAATGCTTTAAGATGTGAATTATAACTACATAAGGGTAATAGAGGACTTAGGTGAATAATTTTTGTCATTTATTAAATCCCGGACATTTTGTTCACTCTAGTTATAAAGATCTTCTCCTGGTATACTCAACACAAAGCAATTAACATTTAAGGTCATCCTCATACCAGGTGAAAGTATTTTTTTGAGCGTCCCTCTTTTGTTCTTCACAAATCCCGTCTAAAACGTTTCACTTTAAAGGCTGGTGCATGTTTAAAGCCGAAAATAGAACATTTCTGGTACTACAAAGGTCTTTTGCTCCATTCCTCAAAAATCCTCTTGATTCAAATTACTTATGTGTAGCATTACAATATTTATTTGGATCTTTCTCTTCTGCAGAATCTGACATGTAGGACTCTTAGAATTTATTACAGATTAACTTGAAGCTTTTCAGAGCTCAGATAAACATGATGTGATAAGTTTTGAAATCTGGACTGACAAAGCAGTCATTGTGTGAGTTTAATGTTTGCAATAGTCGTATGCTTCTTTTCCAGCACTGTACTGCTGTCATGCACATCAGACTTAGTGGCACCCAAACAGAGTAAAAACAATCCTCTTTAATATTGGACCTAGGATTTCAGAACATTAATTGATGGGGGCAAAAGCTTTACTTAGAAAATTACAATTACATTACTACATGTATTGGTATTTAAATATTTGTATAGCATTTATCAAAGATATAAAAAAAAATCTCACAAACTGCTGCACAGCAAAGTATAAAACATTACAAAAGTTTACATAAAATGTTAAAAGCAGTTAAAATGAAACAAGGATTCTTCAAAATTAAAATAAATATAACTGAAAAGATAGGTGTGATGTTGTGCAATAAAAGCAAGAAAAACAAACTCAGAGTAAGAAATTTATGACTAAATGTAAAGACCAATTTAAAAAAGATTAATTTTGAGCTACGTTTTAAGAGAGACCACTGCGTCCACAGCTCTCAGGCTCAAGGGGAGAAATTTCTAGAGTCTGGGTTGCAGCACCAAATGCTCTGTTTCTTTTTTGTCTTTAGCAGCAAGCTTTTCTCACTGGACCTCATGGACCTACACAGGATAGACGGACTTAGTAAAAGCACTTGAGTTTAGGAGCAAGCTCGTCCAGAGAAAGATGAGAATTTCAGTTTTCTTTTTATTTGCTTGTTAAAAGTTTCCAGCCATCCAGTTTTATAGGGGACTTACAATGCAAAAGTCACCTTTTGCAAGATTTGTTCAGATGGTTTGCACTGTAAGACGTCTGCTGGAAAACAAAAGTGTTTTGCTGCTGACTTACCATGGACGCTGTACTTCTTCTTCTTCTAAGTCTGACAGGATCAAAGATACCTCTGTCCAATTGTAAATCTGTTTGCAGCCATTTTCGCGTGAGGAAAGTGCGGGTGTAAACGTTGAGTTGGTGGGGGCGTGGCCTTCAGCAACTTATTTGCATTTAAAGTGACAGGAGGCTCTAAATCAGCTTATTCTCACAGGAGCTCAAAACGGAGAACTAAGCGGGTGAAATATCATGATTTAAGAATTATTTTTGTTCAAAAATTGTAATCAATATGTTCTGTGTAGCCCATAGACCCAACTAAACTTAAATTTAGTAATCAATGACTTTCTGTTTCCCTAGGGGTAAAAAATATTAAATTTTGTCTAGTTTTCACATTTGGAAAGATGACAGAACATGAGCTCAAGTGAGGGAAGTGGTATTGATTATTCTATGCTTTTAAATTCCTGAAAGCATATTGGGTGCATATTTTACAATTTGTAAGTTGTAATTTTCTGCTGTGGGTTGAGAAATGGACGAGTATGGGCAGACTGGTATATTATACATGATTTACTGCTGATCCTTAGGGGATGTAATCACTTTATTCATTATTTATGAAACCTAAAACCAGTCTGCTGTCAGTAGTGCTTATAATGCTTCTCTTTGATGGTTTGTTAGCCCAAGCAGTGTGATAAGGACTTTCACTATCAGTTTTACTTCTCAACTGAAATGAGCTGCAGGACTTATAGTGGTGGCATTTTATTGAAATACAATTCACAATACAATACTTTGGCTTTGTGAAATGACACTTCTCACCAAACATGATCAGCCCCAAGCCATGCTTTAACCTAGAGTTATGAAACTTGGTACACATGTGTAACTCATCAGGATGTACAAAAAAGTCTCTTGGAGCCATGGTCCAAACCCAACAGGAAGTCGGTCATTTTGGATAAAAGCCGCAATTTCCTCTATTTCATAGATGTCACATCTGATTTAACTAGTCCCACACCTTTTGAGATACAGACTTCAAACTCACTCAGCAGAGACTTGAGACATTAAAGTTGAAAGGTTATCAACAGAATTCTCGTAGATCAAAGCATGTGGGCGTGGCTAAGTCCCAAACTTTGACTATTCACCATAAATAATGAAAGTGAGATAACATGCACATACGAGGTCAGAGCTGCATCAGACTTTCTATGTCTCATTATAGACCAGCCCTCATCACAGTTAGGTGGTCGATTGATGACATCACCTTGAAATGTGGTAAAACGTCTGCAGGTGTGCTTCAGCACTGTATTTTTTAACTATCCACTAAATGAAAAATAAAATAAAAAATGAATAATAATGAAAGATTATACTTTTCATTCCTCTGACATCTACAGAAGAAAATGGCTCAACATTCAAAGCTGCTGTGCTGTCAAGCTCTATTTCAGAGACGAACACCATTCAATGTTAGCTAGAGGTAGACAGCGGTCATGGCAAATCTAGCTCACATCTTTTTTCTCTCTTTTTTTTTTTTTTTTTCAAATCTGCCCGTGTCAGGCGCATCAAGAGCAGATAAACATCCACCAGTCATCTAAAACCTCGAATGGTTAAGGGAAGCAATAATTTCTCGACCAATACGCAGCTGAGTGATTACGCTGATAGACGCATGTGATCTGATTTTACTAAGTTTATAATGACACTTCATTTGTGGCATAAAACTTAAAGCTTTTATATAAACAAAAGAAAAAAAACACAGGGATTTGATATCCGTTTCTTTAGACAAGCAGTTTGCTTTCAAACGATGCTCCTACGAGGCAATGCACTCAGCTTATCAGCATGATTCATCTTCCTGATTACATGGCGTGTCTTAGGGCCCTGCGCAGAGCACGAAGGGTGAGAGGCGCATCGACCTGCTGCTGCTTGTGCACAAAGCGAATAATGTCATTATTATTATTATTTTAACCCTTGGATTTAGCAAATGCAGAAGTGCATTGCTTGTGTTTAAATTGGATGCAGTTTAATTCAGTGAGAATTTGCTCTACGTTCGTTGTCTAGCAACATGTCAATGTACGTAGTGCTGTTAAGTGTCGTCTCCCCACATTGCGCAATAGTTAGAAAAAAAAAAAAAAAAAAAGCAGCTGGACATGTGCAACGCGGCCGCAGTGCCAGCGGCAAGCGAATCGATGCAAACAATCTCCGCTTGTAACACGTGGATGATAAATCGGTGCGTCCTGCGTGTGCGCTGGAGTTGGGTACCTGTGACGTTACTGGGGCTTGTTATAGGGTTCAACAGAAAAAAGTACCGCAGAAGGACCAATGCCGTGAATGAACACGTTCAGACGCGAGAGACAGAGACGGTGAGAGGAAAGGAGGGTGGAGGTTCTGCAAACTTGTAGGCGCTGTCCGTGGTTCTGGATCACGCCTCTCAATCTGCCAGCCAGGTCCATTTTTCCTCTTGTCCATCTATTTTTTTTTTTTTTTTTTTTTTTTGCTCGCACCTGTGCGCACCGATGATCGATGACCTCAAGGATGATGGAGCTCCGCAGTCTCTGCCGCCGGATTTAGACGAACAAACCCTCCCACGTTGTTCACTGTTTGAGATCATGGAAGAATGAGCCGCTGGATTGTTAAAGGCTGAGTGAGAGAGAGAGAGAGGGGGGGGGGGAAAGAAAATGTTTCTGAAGGCATCGTGCGTTACGTTGTTTCACAGGTTATCTACGGACTGACCAGCTCCAGCCAGATTCAGCCGGGGACCGTTCATATCCCCTGAGGAATTTCAACACCTTTACGTGTTTAAAAACCAAAATGAACAGTTGAGGCTTTGTTGCACTTTAAAGATAGGTGCTTCATCCCCTTTTGTTATCTAAAGAAGAGCAGCCACCTCTTACCGAGGCATGGGTCGTCTGACTGTTTTGGTCAACTCGGTGCTCCTGTTGCTTTTTGGCAGCGACATCTTCTTGGTAGGAGCTAGTAAGTATTACAAACCCTCTGCGTTTGTGTGCACCTTATTATATAAAAAACAACAACAACACAGTCATAGTTGTAAGTTATGACTAATATGTTAAAGATGAGGTTTTGTACTCCTTATTGGCACCTCAATATCGGAAACATTCTGCAAAAATCCTTGTCTTTGTATTGGTTACTTTAAATAAAACTAACATGAATACAAGCTTTATTTTATGTCGCATTAAAATGAATACATATCTTTGAACAAAATCACTTGTGACACAATTAGTGAGGTTTCTTCTTCGTCCTAAATGATCTCCTTTACCATTTCACTCTGCTCATGCTGGCAGAGAGAAGGGCATTTGACCTCTTTGCACAATCTCACAGTCCGAAGGCTTCCCATATGCTCTCGTCTTTTCAGCTCAGTGCCACGAGTTTTCTTTGCAATTTCCATCTGGACAATGTGGTGGCCATGAAAGAATATTTGTTTTGTGCCTTACAAGTAATTTCTGTGTTCTAGACAGTTATTTTACTGAAAGCCCCAAGCATGACCATCATCTTCCCAGTTGAAAAACCAGATAAAACCAGATAATTATCTGAATTGTCCTGGTATTTCAAACAGATTCAACACGTCACAAATTCTCCACCACGTTCAGCAATGATGTGGTTTTCCACATACTCATCTGCTGTTTCGAACTTAGTGTATTTTATATATGATGCATGATGCTCACCTTTAAGTTCTTCAAGTATATAGCATAAATGTTGTGATAAAAGTAACACAAACGTCTGTCCATCTGTTGCATCAAATAAAACGTCTAAGCAGCTGCATAAAAAACTATTCAGTCATTTTTTTGACAATATTAAAGGCAACATATTTGACTAAAAATACACACATGCACACATATAGCTAATTTTGAGAAGCCTGTTTACATAAAAGATTAGAAATACCACACAAACAAGAGCAGGAGAGGGGGGAAAAAGAAATCCTAAACCTTATCTATTTGGTTGCTCATTTGGAAAGTTTAAAATGACAAGCTGCACATTTTCGCCTTTTCTCAGCTATCTTTAAATCTGAATTGTATTTTTGAGGCGTTTCCTGTCACTATGCTTGCATACCCACAACAGCATATTTGCCTTTGTATATCTGTCTACCTTTATGTCATCCTTCTTTGCCTCTCGGTGGAATCGTGTGGAACCTGTGAAAGAATCAGCCTTGGCCCCTCACTGTTTCTGTGCGGGGGTGTTTGCTGTCATCCTTTAAAAAAAACCATTTTTTTTCTAATATTCTGCTCTGACACATGATGTTAGAAACATCTCTGATCAGTTTCCTACGCTGCTGTCAAGAGCAGGGAAAGCAGCTCTTTAAATCGCAAACATGACATTCAGAAGCGTATTCACTTGGCGTAGCGTTCAAAGGTAACCTTTGAAAGCAAATCAATTGAATTTTAACATACATGTCCAGGAACTTACAGATTCCTAGTGACATGCTATGCAGGATGAGATCTGGATTAGTTAAAATATTTAGTTAAAAGCAACAGAGAAAGAAAAAAAATGACAGGGAGGTTTTACAGAGCTTATGTAATTATCTTGAAAGTTTAAAAAAAATAAAAAAAATACGTAATTACTGCAAAATATGCCACACCGTGGATGGATTTTTGACGATGCTTTTCAGCCATCATCACAGAATCACTGACAGGCTAAAGATCTTTAAAACTGCGTTATGTAAAATTGCATGTCGATTACACACACATACAAAACTGAAAATGATTGCAAGTAATAAATCAAAAATCTAGAATTCACATTTTCTACAACAGATGCCAGCGAGCGCTAAATATTTTCAATTTACATTCAAACAAAACTCTTCAGTTGCACACGAGTCCCTGGCAGAGCCTCAGGCCTGTGTTATTTGTGTGTGTGTTATTTAAGATTTGTTGCATTTATTGGATAGCTAGGCTCAAATCAAATTGGCAATCTGTTGTTCATAAACCTGCTGACACGTTCTTGACGAATATAGTGGCACTGGATGCGAGCCGAATCAATTCAAATGAAAGGCAGCGTTTGTTGACGTTGCCATAATTTTATTCCCCGTCACATGAGATACATTTTAAACACCTGTAAATACATGCTGTGGCTGATGGTTACAATAAGGTTACAAAACCCCGATTGTACGAAACCTGCTCATGAATCTGCGACGTTGCTGCATGCTGCATGCTGCATGCTCCACGTTGCAGTTCCTGGCTGAGTGAGGTGTTGACTTTCAGCTGAGGAAGCTGAAAGGGTTGGATTGGGAGAAAATGCACACATTAGACAGGCACTTAAATCCAGCTGGTTGTACTGCTGTTTTGACAGCGTCTGGATCAGTGGGGAGAAAGTTTGGCTCCTCAAACATAAATGACAGTAAGCACACCTATTCCTGTCAGGATTATAAACACACAGCAAAAAAAAAAAAAAAAAAAAAAAAAAAAGTCTTAGCAATTAGTAATGCCATGTAGGGAAAATATAATCACCTATTGCTTAATGTTGCTTCGGTTTCTTCTCCCTGGACTAGAGGAAAGCCATTTACAAAACGATCCCATTAGTTCACCTTGTTTCGCATAAAAAGGCTGGAAGTGCAAAGGATTCAGAGAAGCAGCGTTCAAAGGTAACACTTGGGGAGGCATCGCTGCAGATGAGATTAAACCAGCGTGATATTACCTGAGCCCGACTGCCAGGTGATTTGCAGCAGTGGGGCGTGCGAGCAGCTGCAAGGCAACCTCCAGCAGTGGAGGAACATTTTGACTTTCCACCACAGAATATGGGATGGAGGACTGGGAAATCAATCAACACATGAGCTACCTTATAATATTGGAAAAGGATTGCTTTTTAAACGGCCCTTTAAACTATATCAGAAGTAATTGGAATCAGATTTGTTTTATGTAGTGACATAAGGTCCTTCTTCTGGTAAAAAAAATAAAATAAAAAATACTTTGCCTTTTAAATGGAGTTTAAGCAACATGAGTTATGCAACTGTGAGAGTTTTATTGTGTTGTTACTGAACTCATTATTCAGATGGTCCCTTTATGGGCACTGAATAACGAGCAGAGTATTAATTCATGTCAGACTTGGTTTTCAGTTTGAAGCAGAAGCAGTTTCAGCCTGTTCAAAAACATGTTTCTAGCAATAGATTTAAGCTTTTTCCAGACGCTTACAGTTAAAAGTTTTGAAGTTAAACACTTTTCTTTGCCCATTAAAGTCATTGTGTTGGTTTGCATGGGTGCCAATGATTGGCACCACTGGCTAAGATGAATTTAAAATGCTTACATTTTTGTTTTGAAGACTTAATGGCCCAAAAACATGCCTCCAGGCATGTGCTCATTCTGGCTTGATTGCCACAAGTCTATTTTTTTTTATAATTGATTATGTAGAGCTTGGAGTAATGCAAAGCCTTCCTTGTAGAGTACCAGTGATTGTGATAGAAGCAACTATTTTGTGACGTCTTCAACAGTCATTAAACGTTTTTAAATGAAAAGGTTGGAATCCTCATTACATTTCAGAGTGAGAAGATGCTATTTGATATTTTTATACATCTTTACTTGGGCTATTAATGCTTTTCAAAACTCACAGACTAGTATTATTTAGAAATTCCTTAATACTTCTCCATCTAGTGCATCTGGTTTGGCTACATGACTAAATAAAAGTCCTCTTGTTTAGTGAGGAGTGATTAATCCAGCAACCTTCCTGCAACTTAAAACAGACATAGCACACAAACACACATTTTGTTTGTTGTAAAACTCAACACACATCGGCAGATTTTAGACATGTGCTCTTGTCTTTCCTGTTTTGAAGAGTGGCAAATTAAAATGTGAATTTACACTACCTTATATTCATATCCCTGGGAAAGAGGAAATCATGGATTATTAATAGTTGAAAGTTCCTAGAATTCATTACAAAAAGTGCTATTGATTTTATTTTATTATTTCAGTGTTAGTTAATTTTATGAAATGTTTTGGGTGACAGTAGTTAGCCACTATAGACTTGTACATTATCCACAGATTTTAAAATATCAAATCACTTGTAATAAAAACATGATCTGCGGGGTTTTTAATATTTCTACCCCATTGTCTCAGTCGCCCATCATCGAAAATCTGCCAAAGCTGTCCCTTTGCTATAAATGAAAGCTTCCACTATCTGACCATTAAAAAAAAACACATCCTCTCAGTCTCGATGTGAACGTTTGTGCAGTCGATAAACTAACAGTCCACTGTGCTTTGCAAGCAAACGTAGAGGTCAGAAATATAAGATGACACAGCTTTATATTTTACTCCAACAAATTCCTCCTGGGCTCCCTTCCACGGGGCTCTGCGGCTGTCCAAAGATCCGGCAGCACTTTCACAATTTCTCCATGTGCACTCTAGTTAATGCACTGGGCTTTTGCTATACGCTGTGATTCATCCTGGCAGCGCTCCCACGTCCCTGGTGGGTCGGACCATTTATTTCGCACCGACACAGACCATGTCCTCTGTGACATATTGCTGTTTAATTTCAGATCTTACATAACATGGTGTGCGTTGTGGGGCTTAGTCGGTGCCAGAAAAACATCAGCATCCCGCTAACATAGGTGTCTGCCGTGACAAGTTTCTCTGCTGCAAGACTAAACAGGAAGGGGTGTAGTGGGGGGGGGAAGAAAAACTGCACACAGACCGAAAATTCATGAAATTGTTCGGCTTTATAAACCTCTTTACAAACAATTTACGCTTTGAAAAATATTACTATGAAAACAGCCAAGTGTGCCAACAAACCTTAAATTTGTAGAAGAATTCTTGCGTATTCGCTCTGGAATAAACTAATATGAGAACGGTGAGGTTATAGGAAAATGTTAGCGTTGAGTCTTCACCTTTCTTTTACTGAGCAGTTACTTCCCTCATCACCACCGAATGACCAGCAGGCAATGCATCACGGATAGTAGCTGCGTTTGCACGCATGTCTGGCTGACTGCAATCTCATTATCTAAAGGACAGCGACCTAAAAGATAAATGAACGTGTCCTCCTCTGAATAAATGTTACACCTGTTCCTGCTGAGGGCTCGCTTTGAAACAAGTACTGATTGCAATTAGGGCATGATGGTGTTTGTTCACAAAAGAAAAAAAAAAAAAAAACAACCCCAGCAGCAATACCAAAGAAAGGAAGGTGCTCATAACGTTTAGCTGGAACGCTACATGAAAAATGTAACCACCTACGAGGAAGAAAGTTGACGTACAGCTCCATAGTCAGAACTCGTTATTGTTCCTGTAGTTCTCGTCGCAGTCTGTCTTGATGAGCAGAACTGTAGCATGTAAATGTGCCGCCATATTTACAGGTCTGTCTCATTAGAAGCAAAAGAAAATCCATCCATCCAACCATCCATTTTCTTCCGCTTATCCGGGGTCGGGTCGCGGGGGCAGCAGCTTCAGAAGGGAGGCCCAGACTTCCCTCTCCCCAGCCACTTCTTCCAGCTCCTCCGGGAGAATCCCAAAGCGTTCCCAGGCCAGCCGAGAGACATAGTCCCTCCAGCGTGTCCTGGTCTTCCCCCAGGCCTCGTCCCGGTGGGACGTGCCCGGAACACCTCACCAAGGAGGCGTCCAGGAGGCATCCTGACCAGATGCCCGAGCCTCAACTGGCTCCTCTCGACGTGGAGGAGCAGCGGCTCTACTCCGAGTCCCTCCCGGATGACCGAGCTTCTCACCCTATCTCTAAGGGAGAGCCCAGCCACCCTTTCGGTCTATGGGATGAGAAATATGATTAGAAAAATTAACTCAAATCCTGACAGTTTTCCTTCTTTTACATGAACAAAAGTGTTTGCACTCAATTGAATATTTTGTACATTAAAAATCTGTGGTGCATAGCATAACATACTGAAGATTGTCCTATTTTATTTCTTTAACCATTTATTGCTGTTGCTGTCATAGCTTCACTAAATGAACTGTTTTCTGTCTGGATTTAGTTGCTAAACAAATGTGTTTATAGATTCCTCTGCAATTCAGCGAAATATACATATAATTACACACACACACACATATATATATATATATATATATATATATATATATATATATATATATATATATATATATATATATATATATTTCAGCATTTGTGGCAAATGCCCTTGAGTAGATTATAATAAAAATATTAAGCCTCGGCCATGACTCTAACACCACTGTGCCTCATAGATGGCATTACGTTTTTCGGTAGGAATGCTGCTTGCAGATAATTAATAAATACAACTTATTTCCAGACTTTTATTTTAAGTTACTCATATGTTTACTACAGCTGTGGGCAACATGTTGTATTTCGTAAAAGTGAGGTCTTTGTCCCTGGATCCCCGGCACTAACAGCTTGGTATTACACTGTGAGGGAAATATATTTAGATCCGTAGAAGACACTGTGGCCTGACCTGACCTGAGCAGATTCAAATTAGCATCGATTGCGTCTTTTGGCCCGAATACCATGATTATTTCCAAGGTAAAATCGACAAAAGCACAACAACCAAAAAGGGAAATAGAATGAATAGTTTTGTTGCCGAGTTATTTTTTTTTTTTATCTTTTATTCACAAAATTGACTGGACAAAATATTCTCTGTTCACAAAAAGTGACAACATTTTAAATGTGTCTACCATTCGATTCAAAATAGTCATTCATATTTGGCTTCTTGTCATTTCTTCCCATTTGCAGCATTTCCACAGGCCTAAGCCTCTAAATAGCATTCCCCGGCTTAATTTGACAGCTCACAAACTTGATAAGACACACAGTAAACACAAAAGCCCTGACAGAACCTCTGGTGGTTACAGCCAATCCCATCTTTCCTGTCCTTCTGACCTGTGCGATCGCTCAGAGACAACGTTGCTGCACAGATTCCTCTGTTAAAACCGTCACCCCTTTTATCTTTGGCTCTTTTCTTCACAGGCTTTTGTTCCCCTCTTCGCAGCATGAATGTTTGCTGCCAACCAAACTGTGACAGATGACGACAAAGCGATAAAGAGGAAAGGAAAAATCATCCTGTCTGAGGCATATGGACTTGACGTAAACCGTTAGTTGTGAGCTAGGTTAAAACTGAAGGCTGAACAGATATTTGCTTAATTTATCAATGACTTCTGTAGTTCTTTCACACATTTTAGCACAGTCAGATTGGAATGCCCTTTCAGAAATAGTTGTAACTCCTCAATTCAGTATAGCTTCTTAGATTTGATGGCTAAGGTAACGTCTACTGAAGTCAGCTGCATATTTTAAATTTAAGATCTCCTTCTTTCTCTGGGGTACACACTTCAAATGCTTTCCCAGCTGCACCAAAGTTAGAGACTTTGTGGGACTTCTAGTCCAGATAATAGGCTCCTTTTCCGTCGCAGCATTACAAACCAAAAATTTGTCGGATCTCTTGTAATGTTGCCAAAAATTAATCTTTTTGTGTCCATATTTTGTCCAGCTGATTTTGTGCGATCTTGCAATATTCCCCACAGTCTGAATATTTGACTCTTATCTTCTGTGAAATGCAGATATAAAACATGAACCTTTTCCAACCTTTATCATGTTGTGACAAGTCAACAACCATCTCCTGATTTCATTAATTTCTTTTTTTGTAGATTATTTTAAGCGATAGAGCTACATCTTTGTATTGTTTCTGACTGTTTACCATTAAGACTCTTTCTTCCTGTCTGCTTTCCTGCAGACCGGCCCCCCGCCCCGGTCAACGTGTCCGTCATGCACTTACGAGCCGACTCAGCAACCGTGTCCTGGGAGGTTCCAGAGGGGGATATAATCATAGGATTCTCCATATCTCAACAGGTAATGACTCAAACTTAATTATTAATCTCCTAATATATATATATATATATATATATATATATATATATATATATATATATATATATATATATATATATAAATCATAAATTTTTTTTTTTTTTTTTTTTA